AACTGGTACGGAAAGTATATGAGATACTTCCCTGTTTTGGTCTCAGTTTCCTCAGTTAAAATCTTAGTTCCGTGAAATTCCTTTCCAGGATCGTCAATAGCTATATTGTGAAGAAGCTGTCATTCATAATACAGTACATGTACTTGATTTTGAATCAAAATGCTATTAAGAAACAGTCAGTGGATAAAACAACACGAAATGTGTGTGCATGTTGGTGGAGACTACAATGTATGTGGGAAAATGGTGATATATTTAACGTCATAGTCTTGCATATCACACTGTCAGTTTTAAACCATGCCGCAATTCTGGCATGGGTATTGGGTGCCAGATGATTCTCGTTCTGCACAATGTAGAGTATTTTTGATTTATCTAAAATCTATTAATTACCGATACAATACAGAAATTTTTATTGGTTATTCTGTTTGGTCATTCTTAAGGTATTTGTATTTTTCGGGTCATTGATTTAGTTGTATTCCTACGCGTTGTTATAAATTCAGTCAACTTATCGCGGTCTTTACAGTTCTTAGACACGATATTGGTTGATACAGATCTTTTTTCTCAAACACATTTAATTTTTTCAAGTATCCTTCCTAGACCTTGTGATTATGATATTTCCCATTGTAAAGTCAAGGAGGTCAATAAGGGTTTACAGGAGCTTTGCAAACGCAAAAAAATGTCAATTTGTAGCTTCCTACAGACCTTTTTATAGGTTTGGTCTCCCTATATAGGCGAGAATTGTTTGCAGTTAGGGATAAAGGTTTACATCTTAATTCTGGAGGAGATGCTGTGCTCAAATCTGTTTTTATTAATACAGTGTCTCATGTTCTTAAGGGTAAATTTGCTATGTAATATATTTATTTTTCATAGTAGGATGTTATTTTGTGATTGGTGTTCATGGAAATATAGTTCGAGTTTGTAGAATTATATATTTACAAATGTGTTCTAGAATATGTTTCCTTTGTAAATTGTGTTGGTGACAACCTTTTGAAATAGTAATCATATTTCATTGGATCTAGTACTGTGTAACAGTAGTCATGTTACCTGTATGGCTTGATTTCTTGAGAAGGAATTAACTTCTCAGAGTATCGAGAACCTGTGGTAAGTACCTAAAAGGGTGACTTTACTGTGCTATAATTTGTATTCAATTGCTTTTGTATAATGTACATATGTATTTTGTGTAAACTTAATTTATATATTTGCTTAATTTATATGTTGAATTCTTGATATAACCACATGTATATATGTTTACTGTTTTCTTTCGATAGGTCTACAGAATTTTGATGCCTTTGTATGTAAGTTTGTAAATCATTTTGTGTTGTTTGCTTTTGCTTTATTTTTGGCCTGGGTTGGGCGATTTTTGATCTGTGTTCATTTAATTCTATATTTTCATTGGTCTGAAATAAGTCATAATTATATCTGTTCAAGTTGATGATTTGTCTTACCGTTAGACTGATTGCATAGTATATTTCATTGTTTATTCAGACATCGCTTTAGTGTTCATTTGATATATATTATATGTGTGTGTGTCTAAGCTCTGATTAATTAAATCTATATTTATTTCATCTGTGTTTTTTCTGTGTTTGCGATAATTTAGAGTACTTTTGATTTATCTAAAATCTATTAATTACCGATACAATACAGAAATTTTTATTGGTTAATCTGTTGGGTCATTCTTAAGGTATTTGTATTTTTGGGTCATTGATTTAGTTGTATTCCTACGCGTTGTTATAAATTCAGTCAACTTATTGCGGTCTTTACAGTTCTTAGACACGATATTGGTTGATACAGATCTTTTTTCGCCTCTCCCTCCCAACCCATTTTATTTTTTGTTTGCTTGTTTTTATAAAGTCAGTAAGACTTTCTTATTTTTGTTTAATTTATGTTTAATTAAAGACAGTTCGACTTTTATTTTATGTTATTTTCTGTTATGTGCGATTTTTGATCTGTGTTCATTTAATTCTATATTTCCTTTGGTCTGAAATAAGTCATAATTATATCTGTTCAAGTTGATGATTTGTCTTACCGTTAGACTGATTGCATAGTATATTTCATTGTTTATTCAGACATCACTTTATATGTTCATATTGATATATATATATATATATATATGTGTGTGTCTAAGCTCTGATTAAATCTATATGTATTTCATCTGTGTTTTTTTCTTCTGTGTTTGAGATAATTGCACGCTTAGGATGACGTGATTTTACCATTATGAATGATGTTGTAATTTCATATGCTGTTGTAAGAAAATAGTTACGGGTGTAATGACATAAATTTCCATAGAAAATTGTTATATTAAGGTAAAGAGTTTGGAATATGGTAGAATATGCACAAAAATATCTAACATATTATGTTCGGAATATCTGTCACTCGGGAATCCGCCCATTGGTGGGTCCCTCGGGACAGATATTCCGACCCGAACCGCAACATATGACAGATATTTTTTTTGAAGGTTACATCGTAACTTGTACCAGTCCTGTAAGGTAAACATCTGTTGGTATGTATATATACTTATTTGTTCTATATTTCTATATCGTATCATATAGTATTCAATTTGTAAATATGTAGAATTATGCTTAACTTTTAAATTAGTTTATTTGAAAAAAATAAATTGCAAATATATTTGAAAACAAACACCCGTGGACTTTCCAAATAGCTCTCGTATACATATATGTACGGTCATATCAATAATTGCCAAGAGTTGTAATCATTTACCATGCAAAGGAAATAACTGTCGTTACAGAATAATTGCAGTTGTTTCCATGAGATGTCATTTCTCCGTGTACCGTTTGATGTGAAGTAATGCATTCACTTATAAAACACTTAATTATGATACCCAAACAACGAGTGAAAGGCATACTTTTGAAACAATTACATTGTACATGTAGTGCGATTTTACTCCCTATTTTAATTTCTGCCATTTGTCATAATTATTTTAAAATCGATATCTAAAACCACTGAAAGGATAAATTTAAGATAACTACATATGTAGCTTAGTTTGGTGATCAATTTCAAATCAGTGTATATATTAATTTAAAGGTAAATTAACACATATAAATAAATAAATAAATCTCAAGCTTTTCTTTTTGCAATTTGAAATTTAGTACAGTGAAAGTGATTAAGTGTTTTGTATAGAAGACGAAAAAGAGCCTAAAGTTTAATTACTACTTCACGTTTATAAATGAAGTGCTAAATTCTGATAATTGCCAAACATTCTGAAATCCGCACAAATGAAAAAAGTACTTATTTGTTAAGCTTTATGTGCCATTATACATAGATATCGTTATTAGCGAGCTCGACGAGCTGGCCCGAAGGGCCTGCTCGCAAAGCGAGCTTTACGGTAACGCGAGTACCTGCTAAGTGATGGTTTTGAAAACTTTCGTCCAAAGTACCGAATTGGACACATCGCAACCTTTCGAATTTAAAGATAACGATAAAAACTGAGGAATTCTGGCTGAAAACGGATGTGCATGTAGACTGGTCACCCGCGCACGTCTATGGGAACCATAATTGGACAGGGAACCAGCATAACGGAAGCTGTGTATAAAAAATGAAAATCGAAGGCGCCATTTTGTTTGAAATCTGATAAATAAAAACATTTTTTTTGTCGAATTTTGTTGTGAAAACTATCTAGAATGAAAGAAAATGGTCTAACTAAGAAAATGAATTCGAACACCAATACCTTTTATTCAGTTGTTAACGCTGTACAGACGTTTAAAGTATTGTTTACGTGACGTCACAATGTAGCGCCAAACAACGCGTGCAAAACAAACAAATCAAGTACGCTATTTTAATGTCGCAAACGTTTTAAGTTTTACATTTATTTCACTTTAAATAATCTTTATTTCGCTTGAAAAATTATAGAGTGAAATAAAATAAACATAGTTTTATAAACGTTTTCAAAACTCGTTATTCATTTCACGACAGGGGCGGAGCCATATTTAACACAGTACGTGTGACGTCACACGCACTCGTCACTGCATTTGAAATAAAAATGAGCGATTATTTCATACTATTTCACGTAAAAAGTACATCGAGCTCGCTTGAGGCTTTGCCTTTTTCATATTATACGGGGAAGTCAAAGACCGGGCCCGCAAAGCGGATCCGGGCTTTGGCTTGCCCGGCTATAGACTACACGAAAATCAAATAAAAAACATTTAAAAAATATATAGAATTCTATACCTATCAATAAAATTTTCAGTGTCAGTTCTAGTCGGGCGCCGCCATTTACAATGTATGTCAATGATAATAGGCGGGGTATTCCGATAACGGAACAAATCTCAACTTTTCGGATTAGTAATAATCGTCGAGTGTTCCGAGTGAAAACGGAAGCGGTGTATGTAATATCGAATGACACCTTTAAAACGGAAAGAATGAAAGTATTTTTTAACGACTTCCCCGTTCATAGGCTTTGCCTAATTTCATATTATTGAACATTAATTTATAATATAACATTTTTTCCCCAAAATTACATACTATCGATATATCTGATTTTTTTACAATTGGTCTCAACCCGGTACGGAATTAGACCGAACCCATTGTAGTCTAGAAAGTAGTTCTTTAAAATTATGAAATGGCCCAATTTAAGTCATCTCTAGTTAGATTGGTCATAATTAAAGTGTATTTATTGCATGTGTGTAGTTTTTGTGTGTTATATGATGACTTTAAAAGTTGTTTTTTGTGTATTCTCCAGGAACTCATTTGTTGGTGGAAGGATTAAAGATGTACTACCCACCAGCTGTCAGGAGTTTTTAATGTGGTGAATTTAAACAGTGTTACAACAGAATGAAGATTTCTGAAAAAAGTAGATGGCTAACCTATTATATTTTGGGCATCATTTGACTTAGACAGTGTTAATGTTTTAAGTTGAAGACAGTTTATAATTCATCAAGAACAATGGAATCCAGAATTAAACCTCAAATTTGACTGATTTACTATAGAACTAATAGTACGAAAATTCACCGGGCCGAGTCCAATTAGGTAGTGGACGGCCACAGAAGTGCCGGGTTTTAGATAAGTGGCACGGATTTTATCATGGTAAAATGTCGGCAGTGGAAGCCACAACAAATTCTTTTCCAGTAAAACACGATTTTGTGTAAGTTTTAAAGTGATTTAACACGTTTGTTACCTATTATAACAAGCAGTAACAGTGCGTGTTTTAACAGTCAAAAACATTCTTTCACCTGGTTGAGTTGAAATGTTAAAATTCATTTGACGAATTGTTAAATTTAAAAGTGAAAGTAGACAAATTATTTACATTTGCATCTTGGATGTGAGTTAGATAGTAGGCGTTGCTTCTTGAGTCCCATATCTGTTCATATCATTCCAGTGGTGGTCTACTCTTGTCTGGTTTCGAAGGTATCAACGGATAGTGCCAAAACAACCCTTTCTGCCAGAAATTCTGGCAATTTGTTCCTCTGTTTAGCAATTCTAATGGAGAAAAGTTATTTTGCAGTAAAAGTCCTTTGTTTAGAGTTGATTTGTAAACTTCATACTTTAGTGTCTGACACGTTAGACTTCTTGAAAAATCTTTCTGAATTGATTGAATATTTTCCATTTAGTATCCTATGGGTTTCTATTAAATCCCCTCTATATATATTGTTGATGTATCTAAAATCGCATTGTATATAAATTTGCATACTTTTATGTCAACATCATACTTTAAGATGTAATCACATGCTTAGCAGACCTGGGGATGATTACACTGATCAGTAATTGATTAAATTACAATTACTTTCAGATTTTATTGTAATTGATTACAATTGATTACTCAGACTTGCCTCTGTAATCAATTAAATTACAATTACTTTGAGAAAGTAATTGATTGATAATTGATTACATTCCATGTATAACTATAAACAAAAGTGTCTTAATGCTATTTAATATAAACATTATATACACAAAGGATTTCCAGCTCATCAACAGTTATCATTTTAACACACTTTTAGTTACTGTCACATCACTTTATCATATTTTAGCATTGCACTTTAGCATCATAAGTTCATGAAACCGCCTATCAGTCAGACTGCATCTATCAGGACGGAAAATTTTACCCGCAACACTAAACAAACTCTCTACAGGGGCCAATAATGCAGGAATGGTCCTCAGTCTTCTTGGTGTAGGTTTCATAATGAACTCTCTGCAACAGAATTTTTTGAAAGTGTCAATTGTACAGTATACTGTAAACAGGTGTTAAAACAGGTGTGAAAACAATAAATTTTTATATGGGAATTCAAAGACACAATAGACTTTACAAAGAAATTATCAGTTTTTTTACAAACACTTCAATGGTACAACAGTATCCATTATAATATAGACACTTTGTCTATCACCTTACAAAATAACTGTTGCATATAATTAAAATATGGTAATATGCATCTGACATAAACTCTAAAATACAAAGTAAAGAAGTTATCTACATTGTTTGAAACTTTTTAAAACATGGTTTAACCAAAATATGTGAAACAAAATTTAACATACCTTTATGTGGGTAATGAAATTTGAATGTGACTTAGTGTTTCCATTTATCTTCTTAGGGCACAATTTGCACTGGACTGTCACATTTCCAGATGTTTCTTTAGGAAATTCAAAGACATCATAAATCCAATGATTTGACATTTTGGTTAGAATACCAGCCAAACAATGATGTCTATCTTTCAGTTAGAATTTGGTTAACTGTATGGATTAAAACTTATTTCTTCATTGTGAGTGATGTCTTAAAATGTCCCACTTGATATTTTACTACCTTAGTTAAACTGTAACATGTGAAATAAATCATTTGAATTTCAATAGTTTCATGTAAAATCTGAAAGTAATCAATATCAATCAAATTGTAATCATAATTACAGACTGAATTTAAGCTGTAATTGATTAATTACAATTAATGTAATCAATTTTGAGCAAGGTAATCAATTACATGATGATTACACTGTAATCATGTAATCAATTAAAAAATCGATGATTACGATTAGTGATTACCCCAGGTCTGATGCTTAGATTACAATGTGCAAGCACTTTACATACTTAAATCTTTTTCCAGAAATGAGGGTCATAAGGGGAGATGAAAATCAAATTCATTCACTATTTTAGTTTTTTACTACTTCTTACATACTGTAAATAAGAAATAGGTGTAAAAAATCAACAATTGTCAGAAAAATTGATATTTTCTCAGTTTATAGTGACTGGAATTTTTGTCTTGAACTGATTTGACCTACAGTGACGTAATTGTAGTCGTCCGTGAATTAACATACAGTTCCAATATTGTGGCCGTCATGACAGACGCTTATTATTTAAAGTTATCACTGGCAATTTATACAAGTGTAAGTTGGTGAAACTTGAACTGACTTGAAATTGAAAAAGGCCAATTGTAAGCATACATTATGTGTATAATTTATTATATATCTTTATTCCACATTATTCCTCATGGATGTACCAAATACTGCGAATATACATCAGTCCAGGATATGTTTTATTTGAATTTTAAGGCGTTTTGAGCTCCACACCCCAAGTGTCTGTGGTCAGGGTCTGATCCACGAGTGTGTGCTAAGAAGTGCTAGAGTTGCTAAAAAAGCTTTTCAAAGGCTCAGCTAAAAGGGGAAAATCAAATTCCAACAACTGAGAATGGAATTTACCCACACATTTTATAAAATATTCAATTTCAATGCAATTTAACATGCATGGTAGGCTACATAGCACATGCTATAAGGACAGCTTTCTGTCTTCTAGCTGATATAATAGGTCTGATGCTGTTAAGCAGTGTTTTTTTTGGTCGAAATATTCGGCGATATTCGGCCCCTTTCCCCACCTCTCGGAGTATATATTTTTCCCCATGAAATTGCGAAAATTCCCCACCGTCAAAAAAATAAACCCAAACTAGAATCAAACTGAACTGAAGTCACTCAGTTTATAAAGTTGTAAACTAATTTCAATTAGTTGTTTTATTTATTTTATAGGATTGTTAAAAAGTCATGTATTTTTAGTCTTTTTATTGAATATTGATAACACTGAAAATTCCCCTTTTTTGGCATTTACGCGCTTTTTTTCCCCACCCAATGGGCACTGACCCCCTTCCCCCAAAACTGAAAATAAACACTGTGTTAAGTCATGGTTTTGGTGAAGAAGTGCACAGGGCATATTAGCTTTCGTAGGGGAAAATATACCTATTTTGAGCTAGGGGAAACAACCTTTATTGGGCTATATTAAAATACAGGAAAAAAAAAACACTGCATGGCATGATGGGTATAAGTTTATGTTCATTACTTTATTGAGATTTGATGATTGCATTATTTTAATTCACGTGGAGTTTGTCTTTTAAAGAACAAAGCACAGCAATACATTTTTATGCGCACACATAGTTTATAATAGTCTTTAATGCAACATTTTTATTTACGTGTTTCTGTTCTTAGGGTACATACGCACATTATACAAAGTGTTTATAATATGCAAATAAAAATTTATGCTGTTATCAGAAAATATTATAATCATGTAAATTTAGCATTCATTCAAATATATTCATTTTGTCAAAGAAAGCATGAATAAACATTTATTTCAGGCCAAGCCAGTTTAAAGACAATAAAGTATGTGTTGTGTCCATCATTGGAAAGAGCCAGTACAAAACAGCTACTTCTAAGGCATCTTTATTCAACCCAATTCTAGATGCCGACATATTCAAGGTAAAATATAAAATATGCTGAAGATTGTAGATTTATTTTTCAACTACTTGTAGGTATCATCCGATATATTATAATATTTATATGTTTTGTTATTATTCAACAAATTTTTAACTTGAATGTTTGTTTGAAATAGGGTGTCTGTGGCTTAGTGGTTAATATTTCTAACTTCAAACAACTAACCCTTGACCGCACTGCTGCAGGTTTGAATGCTGCCAGGGACTTAAATTGTTTTTATGTGATGAAGCTAGAATAATGGACTGTTGGTGGTTCTACTTGAGTGCCTGTCAGTGCCTGAAATTTTAATGCTGGGACACCTGATATCTTCCTCCACCAATTAAGCTGGACCTTTACAGTGTTGGTGCGACATAAAACCAGTGGTACTTCTCACTTAATTGGGAAGAAGCCTAAGTCTCTTCAGTTTGGGAAAATTATCTCTTAAATTACAAATTTTAAAAAAGCTGGTGCAAGTTCAGATTTTTTGGGAAAACTGCATGGTTTTAAAGAAAATTTTGTTTGGGAAGAAGAGGACTTTTATAGGCCTCTGTTGAATAAGGTGAATAATCGTTGAAAACCCAACAGAACAAAAATAACCCATAAAAACTGAAAATCAATAAGAAACGTTTAGATAACTTAATCAAAACATTAAAGAATCCAACATTGTACAATTTGTATTCTTGAAACAGTTTATTAAGCAGTTTATTAAGTTGTGTTTTATATTACCCTTTAAACCATTATTGACAATTCTAACCCACCTACACTATCATCAAAGTGACTGTTGTTCCATGCATTCATTTGACCCAACTACTAGTGGCTGAGTAATCTTGACGTATTAAGGTAGTACACCCCTAATGCACTACCTCCACTTTAAAGAGTATTCAAATAGGCTAGAATCACTGTAAAGTGTATAGAAACTGAGGGGCGTGGGTTCAAACCCCAGAAGGGGCAACTTTTTTTTCTTTCTTTTTTTTTTCTTTTTTTTTTTTTTAGCTCACCTGTCACAAAGTGACAGGGTGAGCTTTTGTGATCGCTTTTCGTCCGGCGTCCGTCCGGCGTCTATCCGTCGTCCGTCCGTAAACTTTTACTTTAAATGACATCTCCTCATAAACCACTAAGCCAATTTCATCCAAACTTCACAGGAATGTTCCTTTGGTGGTCACCTTTAAAAATTGTTCAAAGAATTTAATTCCATGCAGAACTCTGGTTGCCATGGCAACCAAAAGGAAAAACTTTAAATATCTTCTTTTAAAAAACCATATGAGCTAGAGCTTAGATATTTGGCATGAAACATCTTCTAGTGAGTGTCTACCAAGTTTGTTCAAATAAAATCCCTGGGGTCAAAATTGGCCCCGCCCCGGGGGGTCATTGATTTTCCCTATATGCATATAGTAAAAAATTAAAAAATCTTCTTTTAAAGAACCCAAAGAGCTAGAGCTAAGATATTTAGCATGAAACATGTTCTAATGGGTGTCTACCAAGTTTGTTCAAATAAAAGCCCTGGGGTCAAAATTGGCCCCGCCCCGGGGGTCATTGACTTTCCCTATATGCATATAGTAAAAATTTAAAAAATCTTCTTTTAAAGAACTCAAAGAGCTAGAGCTAAGATATTGAGCATCAAACATGTCCAAATAAGTGTCTACCAAGTTTGTTCAAATAAAAGCCCTGGGGTCAAAATTGGCACCGCCCCAGGGGGTCATTGATTTTCCCTATATGCATATAGTAAAAACTTAAAAAATCTTCTTTTAAAGAACCAAAAGAGTTAGAGCTAAGATATTTAGCATGAAACATGTTCTAATAAGTGTCTACCAAGTTTGTTCAAATAAAAGCCCTGGGGTCAAAATTGGCCCCGCCCCGGGGGTCATTGATTTTCCCTATATGCATATAGTAAAAATTTAAAAAATCTTCTTTTAAAGAACTCAAAGAGCTACGGCTAAGATATTTAGCATCAAACATGTTCTAATAAGTGTCTACCAAGTTTGTTCAAATAAAAGCCCTTGGGTCAAAATTGGCACCGCCCCGGGGGTCATTGATTTTCCTTATATGTGTATATCAAAAACTTAAAAAATCTTCTTTGAAAAAACCCAAATAGCTAGAGTTAAGATATTAAGCATGAAACATCTTTTAGTGAGTGTCTACAAAGTTTGTTCAAATAAAAGACCTGGGGTCAAAATTGGCACCGCGCCGGGGGTCATTGATTTTCCTTATATGTGTATAGCAAAAACTTAAAATCTTCTTTGAAAAAACCCAAATAGTTAGAGTTTAGATATTAAGCATGAAACATCTTCTTATGGGTGTCTACCAAGTTTGTTCAAATAAAAGCCCTTGGGTCAAAACTGGCCCGGCCCCAGGGGTGTCATTGTTTTTATCTTTATGTGTATAGTAAAAACTTAAGAAAAATCTTCTTTTAAAAAGCCCAATGAGCTAAAGCTTAGATGTTTAGCATGAAACATCTTCATATGGGTGTCTACCAAGTTTGTGCAAATAAAAGCTCTTGGGTTAAATTGGCCCTGCAACGTTTGGGGTGGGGGTGGGGGTTGGGGGGCCTACATACAGGTGAGCGACTTCAGGGCCATCATGGCCCTCTTGTCTTTTTAACATTCTCTCAGATCATTAATGGAAGAAAAAAGTGTTTCATTTTAATTACATAATTTTTATAGGTATTTATTTACTAAAATTAATAATGCCAAATTTAATAGCAAATATGATACCAGATATTTTCAAAGTTTAATAATATAAAAACTACACGGTAAAAGTATTTAATATGTTGCAAGACCAACCAATATACATTTAAGAAAATTTATGCAAACTTTGAAAACTGCCCCTCATTGTGGAAAATTTTAGGGATATTTAAAAAAAGGTTTTTTTCACATAAGTGTTAAAAGTGGGTGGGGTATGGTTACATTTTTATACATATTAAAAACATTTTTCATAATGATGATATTATAAATTATTTAGAGTTTCCTCATTTCTGAAAAAAGCCCTTCTAATGGCAAAGTTTTAGTTCAGAAAAATGTCCATAACTCATAAACCACACGATAAATTTTGCTTAAATTTTGCATACAGGTGATTTAAGGCATATAACTGTCCTATGTTGTCAATTTTACAGTTCCTTATAGTGTCCATTAGGGGTGTACTACCTTAAACATAAACCTCTAGACTGTTGATGTAAACTTCCTTATTCAAAGATGGCCATGTCCAATGTAACAATTTATAGAGTAAATCTCTATTGTAGTTTCTAGAATAAGAGTAACGTGTAAACGGGTCTTGTTTATCATAGTGCCACCCCTACTGAAAGGGTCAGTAATAACTGACTTTAATATGAGACACCTTTTGATTGTATACCATGTACTTCCCAACTACCACTATGCCAGGCGGATAGAAATCAGTAACCATTCATTTAACTGCCTCGTGGCTCACCAAGCAGACATTTCCGAACGAGAAAGATTCATCCTTCAATTAACGCTCAAGGTGGGGCTTGAACCTTGGACCTCCTAATCTGAAGCCGTCTTAACCACTAGGCCAACGGTACCAGTACATGTATTTAATTAAAAAAAAATCTTTTTTATTCAAAATACAATGTATATGTATATTTGCAGGGTGTGGAGGGATACCTTGAGGATAGTATAAATCAAGTAAGCATATTTTTGTTTCATATTGGGTAGTTTAATTTTTACCGCCTCTTTTTGAAGAAAAAAATGTGGATCCATTGTCATGACTCTTTTGTCAGAATTGGCATTCTGGTTAATTTTGTGTTAAGGTTGATTATTTTTGATACTATGAAAGCTTTTCAAACTTTGTATAGATGATTTTGTTATAAAAAAATGCAATTTCATACAGGCAGATACCGGTAATCCTAAAATGAATATTTGCAAATGTTTACCCCTTTTCAGTTTGATTAACCATTTCTTAAGGTCCTTTTTCTCAGAAACTATGAAGATATCACTTCAAAATTAAACACTTCAAAATTACCTCCCTTTTTCATTCATTTTGAGGAAAATATAAAGAATGTTTGCCTTTTCTGATTTTTTTTATCAAAGTTATGCATTTAAAACTGGCCATTTAGTCTTCTGTCTAGCACTTAGTAATTTTTACAAAGCATTTTTCTATAATGAGATTTTTTAATGACATAGACATTGCTAAATGTAGAAATATTTTTAACATTTTGAGCAAACTTTCTTTTATTTCTGTTTTTTTTTTTTAATTACATGTAGGATCTGGGTTAGAGTAAAAGAGAAGTTTTATGTCATAAGATAAATCAACTTCTTGTGGGGCAGCTCTTGTTATGCTTATACATGAGTAAAAAAAAATGTTTATATAATATAAAATACATCCATGTTTTTTTATACTTTAGCTCGAAATTTTGTAAAATATTTATCTAGATGAAGGTTTGTTAAGAACTGAAACTAGTAGATAACTATAAATTACTCAACCTGCACTGGTGTGGATGTGTTGTATTTCTTTTATTTCTTTCTTATTTTGACGAGTAAAAGAAGTTTGATCCCCTCTTTTTTTCAAATATTACAAACCAAGATTTTATAAGAGCATCATTTCTCGCAAACAAATTGAGCTCTATGGTGGCATATTTTACAGGGTGACATAGAGTGTTACTATGATATTGACAGCAATGTGGTATACCTACATCTCACCAGTATACTAGATTCTTACAGATTGACGTCAGTGTGCCAGAGACTTAAGGATGCCTCTGTAAAGGTAAGCTGAAGGTTGGGTTATTTATATATTGCAAAATGTTGAATATTTAAACAGAAAATTTTATTTTTAGTCCGTGAATAAAAGTAACAAAAATGTATATTTTCAATGGCGGAAGAAGGAGAAGCTTAATTGGTACATATACATATAGTTAAAGCTGTCATTGATATAAATCTAGTCAATGATGGTATATTTTTCAGATGATAAGATTATAGATACAGTTTTGAAAAATTGGTAATTTTGATCAATTGATAAAATGTCTAGGAATGACTAAAATTCACACAAAACATACTAAATGAAAGCCGGTGACCTGTCAAAAGAACATGTCTAGAACTATAATGCAGCCCTTGCTTAAAAAAGTGATGAAATATGATAGTAAGAAAAACTTGCAGAGGGCATTTTTCAACAATGCACATTATAGTTTTATGCACAGAATATGATTATTTTTGATTTGGCCAGAACAGTATATGACTCTTCAGAAATCAAAGTTTCAGCTTGTTCTTTTCATAAAACCCTATGCCTTTGAGCTTTGAGTTTAAACACTTGTATTATACAACTATTTGCAGGATTTTCAGACACTATGGCAACAAGAGGATTGTCACAATGCTAAGTGTCTACTCTTCATGTTTCAAGTTTCTCATATACTTGTGGTGAGTATAAGATTACATGTATATCTTTGATTAATGTATATATAATCTTTTATTTCACTTTTCAGTGACTGATATAACAATTAATTAACACATTTACATGAGAACATAACATAATAACATACGATTACTGATTATATACACAAAAAAACACAATGTCATACATTACATGTAGAGTTACATTATACAGAATTATAACAACATGCATACACAATGTTACTGGTTAATAAGCACATGATATATTGTTGATGTTCGACATAATGTATGCCATGTAATAGGGGAAATACTTAGCTATCAGAACTTGGCTAGCTGAGCTTCTTTCACTGTAAAATTTTATTAATTAGAGTTAGTCATAGTGATATATTGATAGAGAGAAAAAGGCTTCATTTTAGAATTTAGAGTTAGTCATAGTGATATATTGATAGAGAGAAAAAGGCTTCATTTTAGAATTCTGAAATAAAAAATTAATGTCTCTATTGTAAAATATTAGCATTCAGTGATTTGCCTACTTATATAACAGACTCCGAAAAAAGGCCTCTTCCCAATTGAAATTTTCTTTAAAATCATGAAGTTTTCCCAAAAATCTGAACTTAAACCAGCTTTTTTACTTCCAAAATCAGCAATTTTTCCCAAAATCAAGAGGCTAAGGCCTCTTCCAATAAAGTAAGAAAAATCACTGGCATTTGCATTAAGTGTCAAATGGCAATGTTTTTTTTCCAGTTATAGTATGATTTATTGGTGTTTCTAAACTTTTAACCGTCTTTATTTTGGTTATGTGATAAATAGAATATTAAAATTGTGTAAGTTCATTACTGAATTTATTGCACTCCTTGAATACAATAATATTATTCAACTTGTGCAATAAATTCAGTATTGAACGTACACTCATTCAATATCCTCTATATAATACATTGTAATTTTGCTGTACTCTTTCAGATATCACACCCAGGTTCATCTTTTGATGTTACATATGTTATTTTATTCAGGATTCTGGACTCTATAAGGTATAAACTAACAGTATCATGTATAGAAATATCTCTGAATCTCTTAAATACAAAATGATAATATAAACTAGAAATATGGAATTTTCACCTTTACTCTGATGTTTGCAACAGATTTTAACCATGTGACCAGTACAGCCCAAAATCAGTCGCAACATCCATGCCGTTTGATCACAGTCTACACTATTCACTACTCAGTTTTAGAATTTCGGTAAAACTAATGAATAGTTTTGTCCAGCTTAAGATATTGACAAGTCCATTTAAGGTACTTTAGGTTTGTCTGTTTAAGGAACTTAGGGTGTTAAGGGTTTAATGCATGGTGTTAAGTTATTTTTGGTCATACAAACTGATTTTATAATTAAATATAATTTTACTACAGGATGAAAGTACAGAAATGTGTAACAGAACAGCTCCTAGATCTACCAATCTCTAAAGATTGGAAATATAATGGGCGACCATGTTCACCAAGAGTTCTCTTTGTATTTGAGACATCAACTATAGAATATGATCCAGAAGAATTGGTGGAGAACACTGGATACAAGGCAAGACCTCAGGTACGTTGAGGTATTGATATAGCATAAAAATGTGTGAATGATAATTTTTCTTTTGTTTGTGTTTTGAAAACTTCAAATTGATTTCATATTCATGAATAATTTTAATTGGGTTTGTTTTAGTGACCTTTGAATTGAATTTATTGTCAGTATGCCCTGCACTGAATCAATGATGGCTCTAATAAATTCATGGGAAAAAAACTGTTCAGCTAGTATATTAAAAGTATTCACCCAAATATTGCACATTCTGTATGATCAACAATTAGCGCCTTAAGGGTTTCAAATTTTTCTAAGCCATGTTGTCATGGACAATAAAAATAAATATGATGTCCTATAAGATGGCCACTTATGTTTTATTCACATGTTGAGATAATAGAATGTAAATTTTGTGTGTTTTCTTGTATATTTTAGATATTATAGCAAGAGAAAATTACCATTAGATAGGGTTTTCATGTATGAAAATTTCATAAGTGTGCACTTATTAGAGACAGCTTTACTAAGAAACACAATTGTAACAGTATACAGTATCTTTACCCACCAGTTCAGTTGGAAAGTTGATAGAAAACTGTATGGACATCACTTCAAACCCAACCAGAACAAAGGCCTATTTTCTTTGATCTAGGAATTTTTATAAGCTTAAAATATGTCTTATTTAATTGTATTGTTGTTGTTGTTGTTTTCAGAGAATACATCCAATCAAAAGGCTGCAGCACTGCATGGAGGATCAGATATACAAGATCCTGAGAAAATCCAGAGTTATTACCAATATCAGGTACATAATTATATACATATAAACATAAGTTAAGTCAATATTTTCCTTGTTTTTTTTCTTCTTAACTTATATGAAATTTGGAGCAATGAAAAGTTGAATGGAATGCCATGCCCTACAGGGACTACATTTCTCTATATGATCAGCATTTGCAATCTATCAATCAGTCTTTTTATTTACCGTTATTCGGTGCTTATAGGGCAAGGTTTATACATGTATAAAATAGTTAATCTCTCTGTTACATGTATATGCACACACTCAGTAAGCCATCATGACTGTCTAGAAAGTCTTTGTGTGATAAAGGGAAGGTGATGAAATGTGCAATATTTTTATTAGTTAATGATGGGTTTGTCATACCTTAATACATCTGATGCTGTTTCAATGTATGTTTTCAATCTATTTATAGTAACAATTCACTGTTTGCTGTGCCAGCCAATCAGGAGTTTGTATTTATTCATGTGTACCAGAATGAGGCCGCTGACCCAGTTTCATTTTTCCTGCAGCAGATCAGAGAAAATACATTACAGCATGATGCAGGTAAATTATAAATGTTCTGCTATATATAGAATATGCCAGACAGCACAGTTTATGTTGACTTTCTTTCATAGCTTTTCATTTCAAACCGTAATTAATGGTTAAGGTCTTGGACTTAAATCACTCGCCCATCACTGCTGTGGGTTTGAATCTTGACAGGGACTTTGGCTTCTTCATGTGATGAAGCTTTCCAACTAGCTTATAATTTACATGAAATAAGTAGAATATTAAAATGTACATTAATATTATTACATTTAGAAATTCCAGTTTTGAAACTTAATTTGCTCATTTGGGGGTGTTTTAATTTAATGATTTTCTTCTCTGCATTTACACAGATTCAGATCTGCCAAGGAAAAGTTATCAATCAAATAGAAGAGGTCAAGGTGGTATAGACAGGTCAAGGTCACAAGGGCTCTCCAGAAATGGAGGAGAATTTAGTTTTAAGGAGTTTATATGGCAACATATTGATATGGCACTGACAAAAGGTTTTGATGATAATGTGGGACGGCACCCAGTCACTGCAACCTTTGAGGTAAGTTTGTTAACAGGGATAATTTGTTAATAGTAGAATTAGACATGAGGTTTGTCTGGCCATATTGTTTAATTCAGTGGCAAGGGTAGATAACCTAAACACACATACACTCAATCAGATACATACGAGGGGTTATTTAAAAATTCGTTGACTTTCTTTGTTGCGTAAAATATATTTGAGATATTGATTTGAAATTCTTACACTGTTTAGAAGAATTAATAACAAATAAACACAGAAAAATTCATGTGAGTAGCTTCTTACATTACAACAATACTTAATTTCACATAAACACATGTCGGTGACAGCGGGGCACTCCAAAAAGTTATTGACGTCAACGTCATAATATTAACGTACAACTTGTGCTTCACCGTTACGCAGTCAATGACGGTTACTGCTTCTCAAAGTAATGTCCATCACTAAATATTTTTATGCCACTTTAACACTAATGATCGTGAAATTTCCTTTTCTCTGTTCGTCTGCTGATTTTTATCAAATGTTTTTGTGTCATTTCGAAATTACAACAAAAATTGATGATCGTTTATGATCAAGCGATTTTCTAATTACAGCATGTCCGTCATTTTCCCGTTGTAAACAATAAAGGCGTAAGGCATTTCTAGCGATATCAACAAAAAATAAACGGAAATGACGTCCATTATTTTAAGGATTACTTAAATGACATCATAGAAGAAGCATGCGATGTTCAGCGGGTTTTCTGTGTTAATTTTTGTGTCGCCTTTAAAAAAGGCGACATATAGGGGTTACTTTTGTCGTCGGCGTCGTTGTCGGTGTTGGCGTCCCCTAAAGCTTGTCCAGAGCATAAGTCATTATAAGTCGGATTGACTTCAAACTTGGTATGCATGCTTTTTAAAATGACCCGAAGTGCAGTGCACAAGAACCGGTACTACGCACTTCTTATTTTTTGAGTTATTGCCCTTTGTTTATTTTCATACTTTATTTTTGTCCAGGCCATTTCTCCTAAAGTATAAAAGCTATGGACTTGAAACTTCATAGGATAATAGATCTCATTAAGAAGAAGTGCAGTGCACAAGAACTGGTACTCTGCATTTCTTATTTTTTGAGTTATTGCCTTTTGTTAATTTTCATACTTTATTTTTGTCCAGGCCATTTCTCCTAAAATATAAAAGCTATGGACCTGAAACTTCATAGGATGATAGATCTCATTAACAGGAAGTGCAGTGCACAAGAACAGGTACTCTGCATTTCATATTTTTTGAGTTATTGCCCTTGGTTAATTTTCATACTTTATTTTTGTCCAGGCCATTTCCCCTGAAGTATAAAAGCTATGGACCTGAAACTTCATAGGATGATAGACCTCATTAAGAAGAAGTGCAGTGTCCAAGAACTGGTACTCTTCATTTCTTATTTTTTGAGTTATTGCCCTTTGTTAATTTTCATACTTTATTTTTGTCCAGGCCATTTCTCATAAATTATAAAAGATTTTCATACTTTATTTTTGTCCAGGCCATTTCTCCTAAACTTTAAAAGCTATGGACCTGAAACTTCATAGGATGATAGATCTCATTAAGAAGAAGTGCAGTGTCCAAGAAATGGTACTCTGCATTTCTTATTTTTTGATTTATTGCCCTTTGTTTATTTTCATACTTTATTTTTGTCCAGGCCATTTCTCCTAAAGTTTAAAAGCTATGGACCTGAAACTTCATAGGATGATAGATCTTATTAAGAAGAAGTGCAGTGCACAAGAACTGGTACTCTGCATTTTATATTTTTTGAGTTATTGCCCTTGGTTAATTTTCATACTTTATTTTTGTCCAGGCCATTTCTCCTAAAGTATAAAAGCTATGGACCTGAAACTTCATAGGATGATAGATCTCATTAAGAAGAAGTGCAGTGCCCAAGAAATGGTACTCTGCATTTCTTATTTTTTGAGTTATTGCCCTTTGTTAATTTTCATACTTTATTTTTATCCAGGCCATTTCTCATAAATTATAAAAGCTTTAGACTTGAAACTTAACAGTGTGATAGATCTTATTGATAAGAAGTGCAGTGCACAGAAACTGCTGATCTGCATTTCTTATTTTTTGAGTTATTGCCCTTTGTTGATTTTCAAATTTCATTTTTGTCCTGGCCATTTCTCTTAAACTATATTGTTCACAAGGCGACACATCCGACTCGCGGAGTTCTAGTTTAGTTTTTTAGCAAGAAATATACGTTGACATACTGCGCTGTTCTACCGTGCGCCGGGTGCCGTGTATGTTCAAAAAGCAATATAAAATCATTATCTATTGACACAATTAACTGTTCCTTTCAAAATGTATTGATAAATTTTTTACAATGAATGCTGATAAATTTTCATTACAATACATGTTGACGTTCAAGAGATATTTAAAAAGTCCACGAATTTTTGGATAATCCCTCATACATGAATGTAAATGTTAACTCACTTACTGTCGTCAATAAAACATTATGTCTTCATAGCCTTATAAATTTTGTTCGACTGTAAAGCTTAACTTCTAAATCTTATAACTTTTGATTAATGTTTAAAAAAAATTCAGTAACAAGTGAACACATAAATATCAGATTATTAAGAAATTGCTACCAAAATATTTTCAAACTTGTTATATGTGCTCACATTTTGTTTTCTCCCCAATTACAGCTTGCTACAAGTGAGACGTGGTTTACCTTGGCAAACAAGTTATATCTTATGTTATTCTCAGAGAAGCTAGATCCTAAACTCCAGCCACACTGCAATACACTCCGATCTCTTCTCGAAACAGATCTGAGATTCTCCGAGAAGTATGTTAACTTACCTGTATCATGAATCTGCGCTGCGTTTAATAGAAAGTCCTAAGTGTATCCAAGGTCCTAGCACTTATGACCAACTCTAGGACTGACTTAAAACCGTTTCAATAAATATTTTCGTTTTTATCTTTAGTAAAAGTTTTAGACTTTATTGAAGTCGTTTCGTCAAAGAAGAGTTACAAAATACAATGGCATGTGCTTCAATCCACATTGTGTAAATGTTCATCTTAATGGCTATATTCAGAAATTGAAGAGTCATAAGTTAGGACATTTTCTTTTCAACAAAAATTAACTCTGTTTTGGTCTTAAGACATATTTTATACTTATGACTTTCTATGAAACTCTGTGTGCCCAGACTCTATTGGGGCAAGCCATTGTTTCCTTCAACAAGAGAATTTAAACTAATTTTTTTTATACTGGTTGTTTACAGGTATGGATTTAAGAGTGTTTCATTAAGCTTATAGCTTCCAATAGTCATACTAAAATATATTTGTATCAAGTAATTTATATAGGACCTTAATGGCCGGGTGGTTGCAATTATTAACTTCAATTCTTTCTTTCTTTACTGCTTTGGATTCAAGACTAGTCAGGAATGAGTATTTTTATCATTTGACGAAGAAGTTCAGGTTAGGAAGCTATCCAGCTAGCTTACTGAACGTAAGTGGTTTTACTCATTTGCCCACTTGTGCCTGAAATAATGTATTGAGGGGCACAGAGGTCTTCCTGCAGCAGTAAAGCTGGAATGTCACCATATAACCATTACAGTGTCAGTGTAACTTGAAATCCAACACAAAAGTTAGATTATTTAAGTTGCCATAAGGGTAAAACAAGTTCAAGTTCAAGTATTTGGATAAACAGACTAGATGTATATAGATTTTAAAACTGTTTTTAACATGTTGATTTTCATTATTTCAGTCGGTGTAACAAGGTTTTACCAGTAGCAGAAAGTTCCTATCAGGAAAATTTACCCACTCATTATGTCACTAACTACCATCTTAGCAAGGTTTGTTTCCCTTAATTATAGTTCCTGAATAGTTTTCAATAGAGCATACAAAAAAAAAACACAAAAAAAAAATGTTAAAGATACATGATGACAATGTATTCTCTAACTCTGTATTATTGGCGCAACTCTTACTTTTAGTATTTTGTTATGTACGGTCATGCATATGGTGAATTTAAAAATCTTTGACCTCATTCAATAAAAAAGGAAAGTTTTAGTTGAATTTGTTCTGTTTTTTCAAGAAAAATCATTGTATAGTTTTATATATATAGACTGTTAACTATACATGTTGGACATTATTTTACCTCAAATTTTTTTTTAAATCATGCAGTTTTTCTCTAAAATTCACTTTATTTTAAATTTTATCTCTTTTCTGAATTAAATTAGGATTAGAATTGTTTAAAAGAAAGTTCCCTTTCCCCGACCTGTGAAAAAAAAAAAAAAAAAAAAAACATGACTGGAAGGATTATAAAAACCAAGGCATTTGTTGATTTTTTGATGCAGTAATGGTTATATCAATGCCTCACTTTGGTTACAGTTAGCACAAGCAAAGAAAGTATTCAGTCAGTTTGCTAGAGGTCCTGCCTGTGATAAATACATGAAACAGCTGGAAGACTCATGTGAGAGATTCTGGAAAAATGGGAGACAACTCTGTGAGGAAATCAGTCTGACAGGCAATCATTGTGTTAATCCAGTATGTATATCTAGTATTGTTTTGAAAATATATAACAAATTAATGCAAAAATAGGAAGCAAACACTTAAAAACCAGATGGTTGTAAAAAAATAACTGAATCTATTGGTTGTGAACCTATATGGTTCTTTTTAACTTGACTTTTCGAAGAAACTTGACTTTTCGAAGAAAAGGGGGAGCTATTGTACTCAGGCAACAGTGTCACAATATGGTTAAGTTTTTGGGTGAAAGTAAGTATCTCCAAACCTACTAAAGGGAATGGGTTGAAATTTCACACACTTATTTGAGAGTATAATATGAGGTTACTATACAAGGCCCAAACCTAACATGGATGTTGACAGAATTATGGCCGTTTTTCGAAATTGAAATTCTACACTACTCAGGTTCTTGTTTTGCTATCAAGCACTGAGAATACTTGAGCATGGCGTCTTACTGAAGTTCTTGTAAGTGTGCATGAAAACTGGTGTGATATATTTTAGAAAGGAAAAAATAATTGAAAAATGTATTTTTATGACGAAATATGAGTTTCAAAGCATGTCTTTTGACATTATTTTTATTTAGCTTGCATTCAGAACAATGAGATAAATGACTATTGTCAGTTGATATAAAGTGATGGAAAAAAAATGAATATATTTACAAGATATTTTTACTAAGCCTTTGTCCTTCTAAAGTTATATTAAAAAGTTGTCCTTTACCCGAATAGACTTGTCCAGCTACCATTATAGCACATTTTTGGTTCCAGCAAGTTAAGGGTAACTTTTGTTATAAGTCACCATAATGACTTACACAGTGTTTGTGTGGCTAAAAATCCAACCAAAGAAAACCAAAGTGTATTAGTTATTTAAGCAAGATTTTATTACAGTTACATAAGACAGAGGATGAGATAGACACTGAGAGTAACTCACACCTTCCCTTGATGCCACATTCTAGTCAACTCAAGATGAAAGCCGCTTGTAATTGTGGGAAAAAACAAGCTGATAAAGAAGATCCATTTAATCACAAGGTAGATACATTGTATTTTCCCCTGTCAAAGTAATGTGGTGTATAAATATCTGAGAACAATCGGGGCATCTGTATTGGGGTGGTTTAGGTTGTAATCTTCAAACCGTTTTGAGTTTGAATCTCGCCAGAGATTTTGTATTTTTTCATGTGATAAAGCTATCCTGCTAGCTAATGGAACATTGGTGGTTTTGCATTCCTTGTTTTCTTTCATGTGATAAAGCTATCCTGCTTGCTTACGGAACATCAGTGGCTCTGCACAGGTGCCTGAGGTCTTCCTCCACCAGTAAGCTGAAAAAAGTCGCCATATGCCTTTACAGATTTAGTGTCATGTTAAACCCAACAAAAAAAATGTAAACAAAGAGTCAAGTTTACACATATTTATTTCATCTGGATTGTGTACTCATGATTAGGACCACTTCCAAGCCTATCTCTGGAAGTATCTATTTCTGGTGTCATTTAAGCACACATGGATGTGACCTAAATAGGACTTAAACCCATCATCCCTTGGTTTAATAGGCAGACTCCATATTCATCAGCCAAACTGTTTGCTTTTACTCAGGTAATTGATGCTGACATTTATTATATATTAATAATACATTATTATAGCAAATATAAATACAGAAAATGTTTTCATTCTTAAAAAATATAATTCATTATTTAATTTTACCCATGAAATATGGTGCTATATCAGTCAAATATATTTCATATTTTTTAAAAATAAATATGAAATATAAATATGAAAGTGGGCGGAGTCAAAACTCATATTTATTTTAAGGGACTTCTTTCGCCGTTTTGTTTGTAAAATCTGATGAATACAAAACAACTTTTTCTTGAACATTGTTTTGAAAACTATCTAGCATGATAGAAAATGGTCTAACTAAGAAAATTAATCCGAACACCAATATCTTTAATTCAGTAATTAACGCTGTACAGACGTTTAAAGAGCTGTTTACATGACGTCACAATGTAGCGCCAAACAGCGCGTGCTTACGCATAAATTACTACGCGCTGTACAATTGCAGTTGGTAGCAAGCAAGGGGATTCGTTAACATTTTCTTTGATAATGAAATTAAATAAAAAGGTTATTTTTTCGTTTTTCGTGAAATATGGTATATATTTTCACTCAACATGATAAAATGCCACATATTTTCACTCGCCGTACCGGCTCGTGAAAATATGTGGCATTTTATCATGTTTCGTGAAAATATATTCCATATTTCACGCAAACGAAAAAATATCCTCTTAATATTCTTTTTATCTTTGTAAATATTTAAAATCATAATGGTACATGAAAAATAATGAATCAAAATCAGTTTTCTAAAATTATTTATATGAAGAAATTTTAGATTATATGGCAACCAATTTAGATATTCTCAAAAGATTAACAAGTTTGGTCTATTTTAATTTTTGGATAGAAATTAAGACTGTTATATGATTTCAAAAAGAATTTATTGTATTGTAGAAAATCGTAGCATCTAACAAGTTTAGTCTACTTTATCTGATTTTATGCCAATTTCAAGACATTATTGGTCATAACCAACAAGCTTGAATTAATATATTCTAGGCAGCCAACTATGATTTCTATGTAAAACTCGAGGAAATGTGTTGCGGAAAGTTAGAGCGTTATGAATTTCCCGTGTTTCAAGCCAGCAGTACCGACATACGGGCAGCATTACTTACACCACCGGTCAGGTCTAAGGCTCAGCCACCCAAACTTCAGAAGGAATCAGTCTCTAGTGCGGGTAAAGGAGAGGTGGCTGGTGTAACTCAAGGCATGGCCAGTCTCAGTCTGGCATTGAGTCTAGGTAAGACAGTTTTCATATTTATTTTTTTTCGAACATTGGTGTTTATGAAACATAAAATTATTATGTAAAAAAAGGGAGATTATTGTTTTCGACCTACATGTGTCTGTCACTCACTTTCATTCATCAGACAGACTTAAACGTGAATTAAATATATTTATCACATAAACCGTGGCGCAGGAGTGTAATAAAGCCATGTAATAAAAACGATATTACACTAGTGTAATAACACTTTGACATGACGTCATTTGCGCTATATGGAAGCATAGCTTTAAAGCGTGCTAATGTTAGCATTACACTATAGGCGGGTCATTGAAAAATTACTCAGTTTAACATTTGACTGTTCTTATTTTATATATGTGATAAAAAGAATATTATATTCGTGTAGATTCAATACTAAATTTATTGAACTCAATGAATTAAACAATATTATGCTCTCCAGAGGCTAGCATAATATGGTCTTATTCAACTCGTTCAATAAATTCAGTATTAAACAACACTCATTTAATATCCTCTATGTGTTTTATGATTTGACATTGATATGGCCTTGACCCCCTAATTGACATAGTTTTATTCTGTAAATTTCACAGACTGATATTTATAAACAGATTGTATAAGGTGGGTATTCATGTTTTAGCCAGATATATTTTTGTCGAGGTAAAGTTTTATTGAATTTAATGAAGTTATTATTGTTAAGATTAAGGGGGAAAGATCTTAATACTCTTGAGCGATAGAAAATTATTATCTACATAAGCCAATTATTATGCTCCCCGAAAAAATTTCGGGGGAGCATATAGTCGCCGCCTTGTCCGTCCGTCCGTCCATCCGTCCGTCCGTCTTTCCGTCCGTCCGTCCGTCCGTCCGTCCGTCCCCTTTTCTTGTCCGGGACATAACTTTGAAACAACAAGAGGTATCAACATGAAACTTTGTAGGTAGATAGATCTCATTGAGTAGGTGTGCAGTGCACAAGAACCGTAACTCTGCCTTGCCTAATTTTTGAATTATTCCCCTTTGTTTATTTTTACACTTTGAACTTTGTCCGGGACATAACTCTAAAAGTATAAGAGGTATCAACATGAAACTTTGTAGGTAGATAGATCTCATTGAGTAGAAGTGCAGTGCACAAGAACCATAACTCTGCCTTGCCTAATTTTTGAATTATCCCCCTTTGTTTATTTTACACTTTGAACTTTGTCCGGGACATAACTCTAAAAGTATAAGAGGTATCAACATGAAACTTTGTAGGTAGATAGATCTCATTGAGTAGAAGTGCAGTGCACAAGAACCGTAACTCTGCCTTGCCTAATTTTTGAATTATCCCCCTTTGTTTATTTTACACTTTGAAATTTGTCCGGGACATAACTCTAAAAGTATAACAGGTATCAACATGAAACTTTGTAGGTAGATAGATCTCATTGAGTAGAAGTGCAGTGCACAAGAACCGTTACTCTGCCTTGCCTAATTTTTGAATTATCCCCCTTTGTTTATTTTACACTTTGAACTTTGTCCGGGACATAACTCTAAAAGTATAAGAGGTATCAACATGAAACTTTGTAGGTAGATAGATCTCATTGAGTAGGTGTGCAGTGCACAAGAACCGTAACTCTGCCTTGCCTAATTTTTGAATTATCCCCCTTTGTTTATTTACACTTTGAAATTTGTCCGGGACATAACTCTAAAAGTATAAGAGGTATCAACATGAAACTTTGTAGGTAGATAGATCTCATTGAGTAGGTGTGCAGTGCACAAGAAACCGTAACTCTGCCTTGTCTAATTTTTGAATTATCCCCCTTTGTTTATTTTACACTTTGAACTTTGTCCGGGACATAACTCTAAAAGTATAAGAGGTATCAACATGAAACTTTGTAGGTAGATAGATCTCATTGAGTAGGTGTGCAGTGAACAAGAACCTTAACTCTGCCTTGCCTAATTTTTGAATTATCCCCCTTTGTTTATTTTTACACTTTGAACTTTGTCCGGGACATATTTCTTAATGTATAAGAGATATCAACATAAAACTTTGTAGGTAGATAGATCTCATTGAGTAAGTTTGCAGTGCACAAGAACTGTAACACTGTCTTGCCTACTTTTGTAGTTATTGCCCTTTGTTCATTTTGACACTTTGAACTTTGTCTGGGACATTACTCTAAAATTATAAGAGATATCAACATGAAACTTTGTAGATAGATAGGTCTCATTGGGTGGAAGTGCAGTGCTTAAGAATCATTACTCTGCCTTGCCTTATTTTGAAGTAATTGCCCTTTGTTTATTTTTACTTTTTGACTTTTGTCCTGGACATTACTTTAAAACTATTAGAGATATCAACATGAAACTTTGTAGGTAGCTAGATATAATTGGATAGAACTGCAACCTAAACAAAGCCTGGTCTAATTTTGGAGTTATTGCCCTTTGTTCATTTTTTTTATACTTTCCTGTGTCCAGAACCTTCTCGGGGAGCATCACCCGGTTCAACCGGTTCTTGTTCACAGTAAAGTTTTCAAATTAAAAGATAAATTTGTTTAGTAATAATTGAACATTGCACACTTGTCTATATACTATAGACATGTACTATGTAATTTCCCTCCTTCCTTTTAGATATGTCTTTCCCATCCTCATGTAACTATACATTGTTTTTGTTTACCATTGATGTTTACTGTTTGGTTAATAATTGTTTTATCTATACATCATTGGAAAGTGTTAATGATGTTTTGTTTTTCAGTTATTTTTTTGTTGTGTAACAAACCAGTTTTTCAATTAAGCCCATGTAGGGGATGACCCTTGACAATGTTGTTAGAGCTTTTTGCCCAACTTGTTTTGTTTGTACACTTATGATAATGTATGTGAAATTGTGAAATTATGTATTATATTCATATAATCATACCAGAAAATATTATTAATTCAAAACTAAACCACGTTTTTTTTTTCCTGTGTAAAATGCTATTCAACAGCATTATTATTGATTACAGGACTTTCAATAGCAAATTTTTTGTTAAAACTCGGCAATATTTTATAACCATTACTCAAACTGCCTAAAAGGAGTCAGTCCTTGCTCTCACTACACATGGCATAAGTCTGTAATTATACCTTCTAGTATTGCTAGGAGTTGATTATAAGAAACATTTAGTTGATTTTCTGTTCTTCAAACACTTCATTGTTATTCTTATTAATCACATACCTGTGCCACTTTTGCAACTCCATAAAAATGGTATTGCACAACCATGCATATATTTTGACTTGACGTCATTTGCGGTATACAAACATAGGGTAAAGACCTGTTAAATGGTAGCGTTACAGTTTGGGCGCATCAATGGAAAATAATTCTTTTTTCACTTTACTTTAAACAGTCTTTATTTTGGGGATGTGATAAATACATTTAAAGGAAATTATATTTGTGTAGGTTCATTATTAGATTTATTGAACTCCTTGAATAAAGTAATATAAGGCTTGCCAGAGTCTCGCATAATATGATTTTATTCAACTTGTTTAACAAATTCAGTATTGAATCTACCCTATTTTAATATGTGTTATTTATAACCTATGAACTTGCATATTGAAGAAATTGTAAATATTTTTGATTGTGTTAACAACACACATATTAATGTGGCATAATGCTGATTTATAGCTGGACTTTTCAAAGAATAAGGAGAGTTAGTATACTTACTCCAGTATCAACACTGGCATGAATATACCACAGCTTGATTATGTATTTGCATGCAAGTTGATATCTCCATAACTTCTAAAGGCAATGGGTTGAAACCTATGCATTGGACCGCTGTGATTATCTTACATGATGGACACTGGTCCCATAACTCTGAGTTCCCTTGTTATAGAGTTATGCCACCTTTTGTTACTGTAAATCACAAAGAAAAGTCAAGTGTGCTGTCTTATAGACAGCTCATGTTTTGTTGTAAATTTCAGCTGATTTGGCCATATATTTTGATAGATTGTCTATAGATTGACCAATAATTGATAATATCAAATGTTTAGGATAAAATATAAAAACTACCTTAAATATGAAAAAGACAGCTCCACTCTTTTTATCATGTGAAAATTACTAGTAAATTATTAGGAAATTTACATACATTTTGGGGGTCACATGAAATTTTTTATTTTATTATAGTTGCAAATTAGATTAAAATTAAAATTTGTTTACAAATATGGCAGAATGTAAAGTTATTTTGACTTTTACAATTACACCCACAATTAACACTTAGATGGGCATAAATGTCACTTTAACCAGATTTGAAAGCATAACTATCTATTAATGGAATGAAGTAAAAAAACAGAACAACAAGACTTTTATTATTCTTGTATTTTTTTATGCAAAAAAGTGCAGTATTTACATATTTTACAGGGTTTTCATTATTAACAGATTGACGGTCCATATGGATTGAAATGCTGTTAAAATCCGTTGTTTTTTTCAGCCTGTAGATTTAAATATACCCCTTGGTTGTTTTTATTGGCACATCTTTTGCCTCGTATAAAAAGGAAAACCTTGATTTTATTGATATTAAAACATCATACTTTCTTTTTAATTATTTTATTATGATGATTATTTAATATTTAAAATATGCAGGTCAGTCTGGTGGGAGTGATTTGTTTGCACATGGTGGACAGAGTAATTGCAGCCCTCTACCTGATCAAGATGATGCCACACCTAATCCAGATCAGCCAGAGGCTCATTCTCCATCTTCCCCATGTAAGTGAATGTTTTGTTAGGTTTTATTTAAATATATTTGAAGAGTTATTTCCCCATCAAAAATGACATATTTCCCAGTTTTATAGCCAGCATGAATTAAAGAAAGCATTATGGTATGCCAGATAGATATAAAATTAAGATGATCTCGGAGATCTTTACTCAAGTCTGGCATTGTGTGATAAAAACAGTCAATGCTCTTCATTTCCAGGTGCAAAATGTAGGTCACGCTTCATTAAAGGAGAAGTTTTTCTTGGATGGTATTTTTAGTGAGCTTACTATCTCAGATGAGTTTTGTAAATTTTATATATTCTTTTAGTGTATATAAAATTATGCTAGAATGTTTCTCTGCTTTTCCTGTAACTGTTTTTAAGGACCGTTATTCAAAGGTAAATTAAAGGGATATAAATATGCAAAACGTTATGTTATGGCAGAGGTTGGTGAATTTATCATGATCTTGTTTTATTACAGTAAGCCCGACCCCTCTTAGACAGCACTCTACAACAGAATATTTACCTGGAATGATCCATACAGAGTCACCAGTGGGGCTTCTACCTAAGTTTCCATCATGGTCGCTGGTTTGTCTTGGAAAATCAAGTCTTTATAATCATACACAAGGTTAGTGGCATTGTAAATACAATTTCCATTATCTATAATCTGATTTTTCTACCCCTTAAGTGGGATAATGTTACATTTTGATTCTCAGAGATGGCATAATGTTGATTAATAAAATACATTAGAACTTCGGTAAGTCGAAGTTGAAGGGTGTTGCTAAAAACTTTGACCCAACTGGACTTCGACTCATGAATCAGTCTCTATTAAATAAACTTTTGAGCCATTGATGTTAATAGTTGGTAGCAAAAAAGGTGTAATGAAAGGAAAGAGTAATAACTAAACCTAAGCTAGTAAATATATCCCAGGTGGTAATCAGGCAGATCTCAAAATTAATGAAACTTATTTGTGCTTTTCATTTTCAAATTAATCTATGACAATTAGAATTTCGCTCTCATACATAGGAAGTAATCGATGGATTTATGGCTTATTTATGGTAAAATGTTTTTGAATTATTCTTTACAAACCACAAAAAACTTTGACACATCATACAAATACACACATAAAAAGTCAAATCTTAGAATGGTTTTAAAAAAGAATATATCGGAAAAGATCAGAAATTCCATTTTACTTTTACACATTGAGAAAGTCGACTAATCAAAGTTTGACACATAGAAGTTCTACTGTATATGCAAAAAGTTTTAAGGTATTGGCTTGTAGAACATTTGTTTACCTTAGATCTGTCAATTAATATGGTATGGTAGTGAGTACACCCTCTTCATATTAACTTTTATTATACCCCCAAAAACAAAGTTTGGGGGGGTATATAGGAGTCACCCGGTGGTCGGTCGGGCGGTCGGTCGGTCGGGCGGTCCAGACGTCCGTTGCATTTTCCTTGTCCGGAGCATAACTTGAAAACTAATGGTTGGAATTCAATATAACTACATACAATGGTCAAGCACATTGAGAGGAAGTGCAGTGCACAAGAACCATAACTCTATCTTGACTAATTACAGAGTTATTGCCCTTTGTTACTTTTCCTTGTCCGTGGCATAACTTGAAAACTACTGGTTGGAATTCAAAACAACTTCATACAATTGTCAAACACAATAAGGGGAAGTGCAGTGCACAAAAACCATAACTCTATCTAAAGTAATTACAGAGTTATTGCCCTTTGTTGCTTTTCCATTGCTTTTTTTTTGTCTGTTGCATTTTCCTTGTCTGTGGCATAACTTGAAGACTAATGGTTTGAATTCAATATAACTACATACAATGGTCAAGCACATTGAGAGGAAGTGCAGTGCACAAGAACCATAACTCTATCTTGACTAATTACAGAGTTATTGCCCTTTGTTACTTTTCCTTGTCCGGGGTATAACTTGAAAACTACTGGTTGGAATTCAAAAAACTTCATACAATTGTCAAACACATTAAGGTGATGCAGTGCACAAGAACCATAACTCTATCTAAAGTAATTACAGAGTTATTGCCCTTTGTTGCTTTTCCATTGCTTTTTTTTTGTCCGTTGCATTTTCCTTGTCCGGAGCATAACTTGAAGACTAATGGTTGGAATTCAATATAACTACATACAATGGTCAAGCACATTGAGAGGAAGTGCAGTGCGTAAGAAACATAACTCTATCTTGACTAATAACAGAGTTATTGCCCTTTGTTACTTTTCCTTGTCCGTGGCATAACTTGAAAACTACTGGTTGGAATTCAAAACAACTTCATACAATTTTCAAACACAATAAGGGGAAGTGCAGTGCACAAGAACCATAACTCTAACTAAAGTAATTACAGAGTTATTGCCCTTTGTTGCTTTTCCATTGCCTTCTTTTTTTTGTCCGGACCATAAATTGAAGACTTATGGTTGGAATTCAATATAACTACATACAATGGTCAAGCACATTGAGTGGAAGTGCAGTGCATAAGAACCATAACTCTATCTAAAGTAATTACAAAGTTATTGCCCTTTATTACTTTTCCATTGCTTTCTTTTGTCCGGACCATAACTTGAAGACTTATTGTTGGAATTCATTATAACTTCATAAAATGGTCCAGCACATTGAAAGGAAGTGCAGTGCACAATAGTGGTGCAACGATATACCGGTATACCGGTATATTGCAATACAGTCTCGGGTCGATACGTACCGCGGTGCAGATGCCCTGTATTGCGGTTTTTTCTTTAATATTTATGCCGAAATAACATGAATGTAGAAACTTCAATTTTGAATCAGGAAGCAACGATTTACGACATCAAAAACAAAACATCAATGAAACATGAAAAGATTGCCGACACTAGTCGATCCCTGTGATGTATAAAGAAACGCCGCGCCGCGAACTTTTCCTGACGAAGCTCTTTGATCTTACCGCGCGAAGTAGCAGAATCGTGTGACGTCATTTTCAGAGTGCGGCTTTGATCACGCTTTATTAAATTACACACAGTTACGCATTTTAAGTTAGGGACTGATTAAAATTGTTGATTAACTGAAATAAAAAAAATGGAAAAAGAAGATTTTGAACTAATTAGAAAATGAGAAAGCTAAAAGTAAAAATATGGGTGGAATTCAACTTAAAAAAAAAAAATCTACAGGAAAAATGATTTAGGACGGCATAGCCGTTTGTAAAAAATGTAAGATGGATATTCGCTACAGCGGAGGGACCACAAATCTAAATACACATTTGACTCGACACCACAAAAGCAATCTGCAACAAGGTGCATGCAAGTCTGGTACTAGTTTTGCATTGCGGCAACAGCGAATTCAACCCAATAAAAGCAGCCAACAATTTTATGAGTTTTTTGGGGCCGACTTCCCAAATACAAGCCTAACAAGTCAGCGGTGTTGTAAGGGACATAACCGCCAAGCCGGGTCGTCGCTAGCCAATTCATTGTTTAATGAAATCTACAACCGTTTAGTGTTTGTCTCAAATGATTGGGCATTTTAAGGAACATATATTCGTGTTTTAGACCCCTAGAGTAACGAAGCCCTACCGTCACTACGGTACTTTTCTAAAACTTTATACCGAACTATTTGTTACATATCGAAAAAAAACACGTCTTGGGTACAATTAAGTCAAATGGCTTGAAAGAATCTAACAGTCGCAACAAAACGACGGACGGCATTGACTATGAACACGTTGGATAATTTCTTATAAGGGAAAAACCTACATTTAAAAAAAGCCTCAAGACACCAGGTTCACCTTTGTTTTTCATTCTATTAGATACATGTAGTGTTCTAAAGAAGATATAATCTAGAAGAGTTTGACAAATCTAATAGCTTACGTTTTTTACTGTTTTCTTTAATTATTTTAGTATACACTGTACCACAATACGTATCGCAATACAGGCTGTCTATATCGCAATATATCGCAATACGGGTTTGGCTGTATCGTTGCACCCCTAGTGCACAAGAACCATAACTCCATCTTGACTTATTACAGAGTTAACTGCCTTTTGTGTCTTTTCTTTTTGTCCAGAGCATGACTTTAAAACTACTGGTTTGGAATTCAAAACAACTTCATACAATGGTCAAGCACAATAAGGGGAGTGCAGTGCACAAGAACCATAAAACTTCATCTTGACTAATTACAGAGTTATTGCCTTTGTTACTTTTCCATTGCTTTCTTTTGTCCGGACCATAACTTGAAGACTTATTGTTGGAATTCATTATAACTTCATACAATGGTCAAGCAACATTGAGAGGAAGTGCAGATAAGCCCTAACTCCATCTTGAAATTTACTGAAATGACTAAAACTGTTTTCATACAATGGCAATAAGGGGTAGTGCAGTGCACAACCATAACTCATACTAGAGTTGCCCTTTGTTACTTTTCCTTGTCCAGAGGATAATTTGAAAACACTGTTTGGAAGTAAACTTCATACAGTGCAGTGCACACAAGAGCCATAACTCCATTTTGACAAAATACAGAGTTACTGCCCTTTGATACTTTTCCTTGTCCGGAGCATAACTTAAAACATACTGGTTGGAATTCAAAACAACTTCATACAATGGTCAAGCACAATAAGAGGAAGTGCAGTGCACAAGAACTATAACTCTATCTTCAGTATTTATAGAGTTATTGCCCTTTGTTCTTTTTCTTTGTCTTTCTGGACTTATTACAGAGTAATTCAATTAAACTTCATCAATGGCCAACCACATTGAAAGGAAATGCAACATACATGAACCACAATTATCTTTAATTGCCCACAACCATAACTCTATGTTTCAATTCTTTTACAAGGTATTCTGTTACTAGTAACATCCTCATTTCCGAAGCAGACTTGTGGGGGTATTAATCACAAATAGTGATAGTTCTAGTTGATTTTATCGTTACTATCTATATACATCTTACAGGTTTAGATCTTCCAGGGTTTTTAAGTGGAAGTAATTTTCTGTTACCCTGGGATATAACAGTACAAGCAGAGAGAGACAAATGGCCCACAGTAGGGGAAACTACAGGCAAGAAAGGAAAACAGAAGAAAGGAACACGGGGGAAAGGTAACTAACAGCTATTACTATGTTTATGATATCAGATTCAATTTATATCAATGAGAGATGGAAAGGTAATGCAAGGGCTTTGCATATATCAGTTGCATTATAGAAAACAAAAAAATGAGAAACAATTTTCTGACACCCAAGGTTTTTTGTACCATCTCTACATTTATTACTTATATCATAATAAGGCTTAAACCATTTCACATGGTTAAATTTGTAAAATAATTTTCCCGCTAGTTTTAAATTATGCACCATCCATTCTTAAATTAAGGGATTTCAGGGGAAAAATTTTAAAAAATATCGACCATATATTTATGGTTTGGCCACATCGTTTTGAGGAATTGTATTCCTTTATGGCCTATCTTAACGATTTCCACCCCTCCATCAAATTTACGTATGAAATAAGCAATAA